GTTTGGGTTTGACCAATTTGTAAAAAAAAACCCAAAAAACAAAAAAAAAACAAACTAACTAAAACATGCGTGTCCGTCAACCTTAAACAATAATCAATTTTATTTTTCAGTCTTTATGATAGTTGATACTCGATCTATCCCTTACTGTTACATCCCCGGGCAACGCCAGGCTCTACTGCTAGTAATATATAAAAATATTAAATATTAACAAATGCTCTAACTATATAATTTAGCTTCAGCTGAGAAAAGCAAGTTGTTCATTTCAATAGTGTTACTTGAAGGACGTATTTCGGAGGCATGGATATGACATAGTCAACTTTTCATGTCAATATTCATGTAATAACTACGTGTCAGGCTACGAACTTATTGATCAATCCTTGTTGACCGGACGATCAGCATTGGTTGTTATTAGAAAAGTAAATGTCGTCGAGGCAGTTGTTAATGAAAGTGAAAATGAAAGTATATGAAAAGGCGTTTAAATCTTTGAATATTGCCGAGAACAGTAGCTAATTACGAAATTGGAAATACCATCGATAATTACGTAACGATTTGGAATGATTTCAAAGACAAGATAGTAAACTGGAAAACTAAGTCCGAAAAAAAATGAAATCATCCGAATGATAGCATTATCAGAAAGAACTGTCCGAAGACTACTGCAGTATTAAAATTTGCTTTGACGTAATACCCAACAAAACAGTAAAAAATCTTTTATAAACTACGAATGTAAGCAATCACTTAGTTCAAAATTAACTTGAAGTACACTAAAATACCACGGCAGTGGCAGAGAAGAGAGATTAAAGGGAAAATATTCTCATCCATGACGAGGCAAGACGGCCTAATATAGAATAACAAAGGAAAAATCATTTACGTAGTATTTCTATAGGAAAATCATTAAGAATCCATTATATTGCATATATAACCACACCCTTCTGTCAGTAACTTTTTACATCAATTGCTGATCACGAACAATTCCTTCATTGCTGATGCACAAACTACAAACGCTCATATCTGCTTGAAGTGTATCTTAACGTAAACAAATGACGTGATATATTATGAAATGCACTAAGAAGTTTCGAAATTTGTAGTTTAAAAGCAATATTTCGACCTTGCTAGCCAGACGCTTCCACTGTAGCTAAATGGTACAGCACCTCAGACTATATGACGGTTCCGTGTAGGATACAACTTCGATTCCTGTGGGAGGACACATATTCAATGAAATATCTCGGACATTCAGGCCGGTAAATGTTAATACTATTTATTATAAACAGAGCATTTACTTGAATATTTGTATCTATAAAATAATGTATAAACAATAGATATATTAAAGTAATTATCGGACTTAGTTCATTTCACTATATATATATATATACATGCATATATATATATATATATATATATATATATATATATATATATATATATATATATATATATGTGTGTGTGTTCTAAAGAAGCAATTTATTTTTAATCCGAAATATTAGCAATTTAAACGTTAATTTTAGTGGACACTCATATTTAAGTAGATGCCCCAACATGACTATTTAAGAAATCTCCGAACCTGCATCCTTCTGGGCAGGAGGAAATCATCGTTAGATCCGACGTGCCTTAATCGACTCGTCCACGAAGAAATTTTGCCGATCAGTGCTTGTAAGCATTTGTCTTTAATAAGATTTCTCGAATATTCAGCCCTGTAGACAAAAATAAATAGACTCTTTATTAAATAAACTGTCCACCTACTCAAATATGAGTGTCCACTTTAAATAACACACACATATATTTATTTATGTATATATGTATACCGTCATCCACAGACAAACTGTTTCGCTGTTTCACAGCTCATCAGTGTGCTCGACATCCGATCGCTTCAGACCGGAATCGAAATCCGACCGATTTGGTATTAGTCGGAGATTCTAACCCCTAGACCATCGACGCCCGGCAGAGAGATTGTATTTAGGACCCAAGAATTCATCCAAACAAGTCTTGTTAAATTCAACTGATAAATTCTTTGTTTAATTCTTTAATTTGATTTTCCCAATTTTCGAGTTATATGCCGTACATCGTGATCAAATGTATGAATAAATTTTGAAAAATGTTGGCCTCGTGGTACAACAACTTATTCTAAAGCTGAAAAGATAATATACAAAATTAAACATACATGCCTTATCGGCTAAATTTAAAAATTTAACTGGATTTCAGGGTGAGGAGTTATCATGATTTTCATTATTTACATTTAGACTAAATGTCTTCATCATAAAGTTTCGACCATTGTACCCTCCGGGGCTCGTCATTTGATTATCAATTCGCGTAACCTTCAAGAGATATAGAAATGAACCCTTTATTCATCATATTTGGCTAGATTGGTTTCATTCCGATTATCATGTTTAAGAATATCTCGTTTAATTATTATTTAGCTGGTTTGTGAATGTAGTGACATGACAACTGTGAGTCCCATACCTGGCTGGGTAGGTTAAGCTTAGTGGAAATGGGACAAAAAAATGAGAACTACAAAATAAGAACGAGGTGAGATATCCTTAGACATGCTCAGGGGAAAGAGAACGATCTATCGCCGTAAATTAATTAAATTTACAAACACCTGAAGAGGGTCATCGCGCACAACAGCCGAAACGTTGTTAAAATAACAACAAAGACAAGCACAATAATTTGAATGTAAATAATGCAAATTCACAAAACTGGCTTCGATGAAATTAAAGGAAAAAAGTTTATAAAATGCATCATATATATATATATATATATATATATATATATATATATATATATATATATATATATATATATATATATATTGCACTCTTTTATATACGTAAGAAGAAGAATATACAAATTATGTGTTGTGTGTGTATGTATTATGAGTGAATGTATGTGTAAATTCAGTTCATATAATTATATATATATATATATATATATATATATATATATATATATATATATATATATATATATATATATATATATATATATATATATATATATATATATATATATATATATATACATATATACATATATATATATATATATATATATATATATATATATATATATATATACACAATGCCGGTAATGATGGTCTCATTGTGCCTATCCGAATATACGGTAAGTTAGTATTCATATAAAATTATAATTTTATTGTAACCTAATTATGTACAATAATAGATCATATGCAATATAGCTGAATAATTCAACTAGAAAAATTGAAAATAAACACAATGTATCTAAATTCAAATTAGGGATGTCCTAACAGATCATTGCATCTTAAATAAAACAATAATGTTTTTGCACCAATTTGTAACATGAACTTGGGATTTTTCTTGTTAAAAAGTTGAAAAATTTTATCACATTCAACATTATGGACAAAGAATAGTTATAGTATTTTTACGGGACTTAACTTGGGCAAAACAAATTCACAGATTTGGACAAAAAAAAAAAATAGAAAAAGAAAAAGAACCCCAAATTACGTCAACATCTGTGAAAATTTTTCATCCTTTCATAATCAGTTGTGCTTGATTTAATTTGTAACGAATAGCTAGAAAAAAAAAGCAATTGTTGTCAAGATATCGAGGGTCAGAATCAGAAATCACCGCCTGGTAGTACGCACCGGCTACATACATATATATATATATATATATATATATATATATATATATATATATATATATATATATATATATATATATAAGCAGTCATTTGTTAAAAGATTCTACTCATATTTTTTTATATTTATTTTTAAAAACCTACGAACAATAAGTGGTACCCAGACAGACGCAAACGAAAAATAATAGTCAGTTTTACATGAATTTTATTATACTTTCACTTTTTCATTTTTTTTTCTCAGGCGTTTCACCTTTCAACGTTTTTTTTTTCTAAAGAGAAAGCAATCATAAATTCAAAAATGGAAATATAATAAAACCGTATAAACAGCGGAATAAAAATTCATGGCTTTCTTCTCTCTCACGCCACCCTTTCTCCTCACTCTCAATTCCTAATCTTTCCATTTTCTCTGCCCGTCCCTTTATTCCTACCCTTTTCTTCTTTTCATATCTTTCTTCCTCCTACTCTTCCTCTGTTTCTCTTCATCAGTTTCCATCCCTCCACCTCTTACTCTTCATTTCCCCTCCTCCCTTTATCCGTCTATTTCCGTCCGACATTTCCCCTCCTGCTTACTCTTATTAATCCCTTCCTCCCTCCTCCTCTACATTTCCTTCTCCTTCCTACTCTAAACCCCTTTCTCCCGTTCTTTTCCTTACATCTCTTTACCCTTCCGCCTCTTTATCTCTCTTTCTCTTCCTTACACTCGCCCTCTGGACCTCGCTCACTTTACAACCCACATTTTAATGTTAATAACAATAACAGATTTGAACTCACCACTGGAATTTTCTTTGTGCCGTTTCATCTTCAGCCTCCCATCTCCAAGGCCACCAAACTTTGCTTATTAATGATGGGGAGTTGGAAGCGTCGTTACAAATGCTCATGCTAAAACTGCTACCGGCATTCGATGATGATAATGATGATGATGATGATGATGATATAATGGCGATGAGGTGCAGACGACAATATTAATAACTTTTAATGTCTTGCAAAAAAAAAAAAAAAATGATAGCATCCTGCTATAATGTTGATATGTTAAAGTTTAATATTTATGGTGACACCGATGGTGATGATGATAATGATGGAAAATTGATAACAGAAAATGATGCTGGTGGATTTAATAGATACATTTGAAATGTTAAAGATGGCGAAAAATGAGATTCAGTCATTAGCCATAATCTTTTGGGAATAAAGCCCCTGAGAATATTGAAGAACACAGTGGAAATGAAACAAGGAAAGTATCGAAGGAATTAATAAGAACAGATCAGAAAAGTAAAACAATTAAACAATAGAATGAAAGAAACAAAGAAACGGGGCTGTGATGAGTTTTATCGCAATTAAGGCTTCATTTTTTTTTTTTAATGGGGATCTTAAATAACTGTCAATATTTTTTTTTAAAGAAGACGAGAAAAGTCAATTAAATCGTCTTCGTTGAAAGGGTCACAAGATGACCCGGAATCTGAACAAAGGCTTGAGCTGGGGGAGCAACTAATATCCGAATTTGGAGGTGGGGAGATCGACTTTGAAGTGATGCATGTTGACACTGTTGAGTCGGCCACACTCACTGATGATGTCAGCTGGGCAGCTGCGGCAGCCGCGGCCGCGCACACCTCCAAATCGCTAATGTCCAGGAAGTCCGGTTCATGATGCAGCAATTCCTGCAGCTCTTTGATGTACTGCACCGCTGCACGGAGCGTTTCCACCTTGCTCATCTTTTTATTCTTGCGTCCATTGGGAACGTGTTCACGCAGTGCCTCAAACCCGAGATTGACGAGTTTGACCCGATTTCGTTCGCGTTCGTTACGACGCGCTACCGCGGCCGGCTGGGCCCGAGGGAGCGTAAACCCGAGACCTGAAAAGTCGATACGTCGCTTGCAGCGGAGCAGTTCCGGTTGATGCTGATTTTGGTTCTGCTGATACGGCTGTTGAAGTGTCGGTAGCAGTGGTTTAGGCGGCAGCTCAACAAATCCGTTACCGCATGACGTCTTAGAAATATTACCCCTCATCTTCTTACTGTTGTGATTAATATGGCTAAAGTTGTTATTAGTGTCATTAACGTGATTATTAATATTATTAATGTTATTATTATTATAACTTTTAAAATTATGATTATTATTCGTGGTAGTAGTGGTTGTAGTAGTGCTGTGATTGTTTAATACCCTGCTAACGTTTAAGATAACGTTCGATGTGGTCACGTTTGTTGTGATCGGGGCTGGCGCGCTAACTGGTCTCAAAACAGCTGGTATAGTGACAGGCGGATCAGCGGTTAGACGCAGCGCTACAGCCGCTGTTGACGTCGAGGTTTCTGACGTCGGCGGTGCCGCGAGAATGTTCGTCGTAACAGTAGCTGCAGTCGACGTTGGGCAGGCAGGGACGTTAACGACCGGAGGTCCGACCCCAACCAAACCAACCAGCTCTCCGACACCGACCACACCGACAACAGTACCGTTATTCGCTGTGGTTCCAATATTGTTGATGTTGATATTGTTGTTGTTGTTATTGTTGTGATGGTGGTGGTGATTTCGGTCCAATTGTGGTTTTTCTTGTTGTTGTTGTAAGTGTTGCGTCTGATGGTAATCTTTCTCGTTGTTGGAGTTGACCAGTAATTGTGGATGTTGTTGTTGTACTTGGGACAATGTAGCCCCTGTTGTGTTTAAAATAATACAAGCCGGTCCTGAAAAGCTACCCGTGGCGGGTGCCAGACTAACGGGTAGAGACACGACATTTAAAGTTGTAGTAGTAGTGGTGGTCGTAGTGGTCGCCATTCGTTAAATGTCACAGTCCGGTTATGACAAATGTACCCTCTACAGTTGCGAGCACAACGTTTCCCAACTCTGGACATCGGCCAAATGAATGACCAGCAGAGGACGAAGGGATACCATTCAGAGCGTTTAAAGACACTGCCTACCCGCTTGCGAACGAACCAGCGGGTGGAGATGCGGTGTTGTACAAAGAAGGGGTAAATGGTCGAGATTTTGATGTGGTTATAAAAAGGGTGGGGGAGACAAAGGGAAAATTCTGTGAAAATAAAGAAAAAAAAAAAAAAAGAAATAAAAAAAGAGGCGGGCAAAAGAAGCCTTTAAAAAAAAAAGGAAAGCGAATACGTGCGCTCAGCCGAAGAGAGAGAGAGAAAAAATAGATAGTGATGGAGGGAGGGAGGTAAGAAAAGTGTGTCTCGTTGGTTAGATGTGTCGAGTGGGGAAACCAGTATTTAGGGTTGGAACGCGTCCTACTTGTCTCCACCCTCTCGTTAACCAATCTGGGTGTAAGAGAATGTTGATATATACAGTTATTTGTTTTTTTTTCTTTTTGTGCGTTTTTTTTTTTCATTTTAATAATAGTTGGCATGTGTCAAAAAATGGAATACAATAGTAAGGACAAAATTTTGGCGAATTTTCTAGTTATTTTTTTTTAATGTTGGATCTATTTCTAGCTGATGAGTGGGTATCTAGACTATGAGGTAGTAATCTGCATCCCGCATTATTCATATATTTATATTTATTGCATTGTTTTTATAAAATTTACATACCCGGACAAAAAACTAACTCTGCATTATCCAGTATGCCTGCCGTGAAGCAACCGTTTCTAGCAGACATTTACAAATAGTGTATGTTTGATTTTCACGTTGGTGCTCCATATTTCTAGCCTTTTACCTGACTTAACTCAAACTCTGGATGCCTCATCATGGAGCATTATTGAGCGAGAGATTCCACAATTCGTTCTTTAATGTGCGTCACACTTCTAACCGAGTAACAAACAAAGATACGTTTAGTAAATAGCTACATTCAGCTATATATATATATATATATATATATATATATATATATATATATATATATATATATATATATATATATATATATAAGAGAGAGAGAGAGAGAGAGAGATAATTAGCATTAGTCGTAAAGGAAATTAAATAATTCACTTACACACACACACGTATTTGTGGCACGTTTGATTAGCGATGAAGTCCTAACGGATGAAACGCATCACACATCATATTTTTTACCATTTTGTCATATATATATATATATATATATATATATATATATATATATATATATATATATATATATATATATATATATATATATATATATATATATATATATATATATATATATATATATATATATATATGACAAAATGGGAAATATATATATATATATACATATATATATATATATATATATGTGTGTGTGTCCGTGTGCACTACAGAATAATTGTATATAAAATGTCCACTACAGAATAATTGTATGTCTAGTTCTGTAGTTTATCTTAGTATAATCTCTACACTAGTAAACCCAAATATGAAATTCCAACTTATGTAACAGCGTTTCCCCTTGCGAGGGGTGGTTAATTAATTTAAACCTGTTAAAACCCTTTATTCTACATTCAAAACCATCACTTGATAAGATACCAAAGGTGTTGAAACAAAACGGCTATTTTTGTAGTGATTTTATAGCATATTTATGTTATAGTTTTTAAATAAATAATTATATATATATAATATATATATTTTAAATAAATAATCATATATATATATATTTATATATATATATATATTAAATAAATATATATATATATATATATATTAAATAAATAATTATATATATATATATATATATTAAATAATATATATATGATAAAAAAGAAAAAATTTATTTATTTATATTGTTCTTTTACAAATATACTCTATATATTTACTTAAACACACACACACACACAGATATATATATATATATATATATATATATATATATATATATATATATTTATATTATGAAATTCATATTCAGTGAGTACACATGTTTGAGTAGATATCCTTATTGAATTAATGTCTACCTTCATAGAGATTGAGTATCCTACTTAAGAAAATGTGCCTCTCGGATTCTCGGTCTCTGTAACAGTAAATATTGAGTTCAGGGATAAAAAGATATCTGCACAAATACATGAACCCTAAAATATAAAATTTATTGTAATATATACATACATACATACATATATATATATATATATATATATATATATATATATATATATATATATATATATATATATATATTACATTACATTCTTATAGATTTTAAGCTAAGTCAAGTCTGACTCACGTTAAAAAAAAAAAAAATGAATACCCAGTGAAGATCAGATTCATTCAATACCAGTAAAGAGTAAATGGTTTACTCGACCTGCTTTTGTAAATGATACGTATATGGAAAAATATGAAACCAAAACTTACACAGTGTCTTTTCAATATTTATTTTGGATGCTATTTGAAATTTCAAAATATGCATGGGAAAAACAATTATTTTAAAATGTTGCTGATTGTAATAATACTTTTTATTCGATTTTGCATTTCATGTTGGACGCTATAAATTCAAATCCGTCGAGTGAGAGCAGTCAAAAGCTAAAAACATTGGTGTCCTTCCTGTTTGTGCAATTGATGCAAATATCGCTAAACTTTGCGGCTTTTTCACCCAATACTTCCTCAACGTCATAAGTCCGATGTGTTTTTAAATAGCGTAAGTTAATAATTAAAATATTAGTTTGAACTGTTTGCATCTTTATTAACTGATGACATTTTTTTATTATGATATATTTCCTTCCGGTGTAAACGATCATCACTATCCATGTGTATGTACGTGTGCGTATGTACATAAATTCATACCGATAAACACACACACAGAGGCGGATATATATATATATATATATATATATATATATATATATATATATATATATATATATATATATATATATATATATATATAGAGAGAGAGAGAGAGAGAGAGAGATAGATAGATAGATAGATAGATAGATAGATAGATGACGAAAGACAAGACAAAGCAAGATATGAAGATGGTAAAATATATTTTCTGTCCAACCATGAAGTTCTTTTCCCTAAAATTATGTTTGGTCATTTGGGCAGATCTGGGAAAAGGATAGAGCCGAGAACTTTTTCAACAGTCTCTCATCATAAACAAATAGAAAACAAACATGAGAAAGATATAAATATATATATATATATATATATATATATATATATAGATAGATAGATAGATAGATAGATAGATAGATAGATAGATAGATAGTGATCAAAATCACAAGACAAATCAAAGCTAAAAGAGTGATGAAAACCACTTTACTACCTTAAATTCTGTCTCGTATTTTACACGGATATGGAGAAATAGATTTGGAAAATCCGTGGAAATGGAATAAGCGGTTTAAGATAGATAGATAGATAGATAGATAGACAGATAGATAGATAGATAACTTATAGTTTTAGTGGAAAATGAGGGCTTTCTCTTTCGTTTTTTTGTAACTGATTTTTTTTAAATACTTGTTTTCAGTATTTTTTTTATCTGTCATCTTTAACGTTATCATAGAGGCCTTTTTGCATTTATTTGATCCAAGCATAAGGCAATAGAAAAAAAAAATGGCAGCAAAAGAAAGTGAAAGGAAAAAAGTAAAGAGAAAGAGAAAAGCGAATTAGTCTAAAGAGAGGAAACAGCGATTTCCTAACTAATTAAGCAATGAGTTTTATTGCTTAAGTTGTTACCATAGCGCCATATATGCCAGACACAAAAAGCACCAAATTCGAATTATGACAGACAACCCCATATCTAGAGCGGTCACCCTTTAACAATCCCATATGCCGACGTGATATAATTGTGCAGGAATCACAGTAGTCGTTGTTGGCGCCGAAGCTAAGAAATAAAGAGGTGTGTTTGTTGTGTGTTGTTGCTGTTGTAGCTTCTACCCGATAGCGTGGGCTTGGGCGGAGGCCCGTATGAACTCGTGGGGGTCGCACGTCGCGGAGAAAAGCCAGTATTTAGTGTGAAGGAAAAGAGGTAGCGATGTAATGATGGTGGTTGTCAACTCAGATGTTATCTATTTACTTTCTTTCTTTTTTTTTCTTTTTTGTTGGCGCTTGCTAGTCAGCTATAAAAGGGACTAAAGGCAAAAAAAAAAAGAAAGAAAAAGAAACAAGAAAAGAATTTGGAAGCACATATAAATGAAGGAAAAGAAAGAAAGAACGTAAAAAAGAAACGAAGGAAACAGAAAAAATGATTAAAAAAGAATATGTCCACTCTTTTATCTGTAAGTTTTTGTGTTTTGTTGGTGATCATGCCTCTCCACGACTTCCTTTTTTTTTTACTTGTGAATTACGATGCATTCTTAGAAAACTATCCGAATGGTTTCCCGCCAGTTTCTCCACGTTTTGAAATTTAGTTTTTCTTTACTTAGATAGGTTTGCCTTCAAAGAACACAATCATTTTTTTTAATCAATTCACCCAAAGCAAGGCGATACTGCCACTGAGATGCAAAGGGTTACTGAGAGTGAAGGAGATTGAAAAAGACTTTAGGATGAACCAGAAACCGAATCCTAAACAGAAAACAATGCTTAAACCTCTAGTCCTGTTCAAAACACGGGGAAAAAAGTGGGAACCGGACGATAGGCGAAACTAAAATCTATCCTGTTATTTAACCCCCAATTTGTGGGAGAAAAGACTGGTCTTACCCTTTTCCAAGGACTTGTATGCGAAACTGAATGTAACAGAATTTGAACTCAGCACAGCGATTCCATTTTCTGCACCGATATCCGCATGTTTCTCCACTCACACATTCGTAAATATATCTGTTGTCGCTCAAGTCTTAGGTTTAACTCTCAGCGCTAAACCAGCCAAGAACATTGAAAATGCAGGATAGATATTTTATGATGCAAAAATTGAGTGACAGTTGACCTTCTTCTATGTGCCATGTCCTACCAGGATGGGGACGATCATCACTCTCTACAACTTCCTGTCTTTGCTAGCTTTGAGTAAGTTTTGTGTCTTGGAAATCCCTCTAAACTTTTTTTTTTAATACGCTGGTAAGAATTGCGCCACTTAACTGTTAAATCGGTTATAAAACATCATGCTTAAAGTAATATTCGTACTGTTACATTGGGGAAATGTTTGACGTGATTCCAGCTTACGATTTGCTGAAATCTGAAAAAAAAATGTTTATGTATATGACAAAAACACTTTTCACATCATTTTGTCGAACGGAAGAAAGTTTAGTTAACTTTTATTTTCAATGTAAAGACAGAACGCCCCACACAACACGGAGGTGTGATTCGCCTTCAAGACTCGGCGAGCACGCGTTTCAGGGTTCGTATTACGGTGTGGCTTTCTCTTAGCTGTTCTCCATCTTTTGACTAGTGTTTTTGAATGATGTCCGTATCATTTCATAAAATTCGTCCAGACCACCTTTAAAACAATAAGAGATATAGTATATCTATATCTATATCTCTCTCTCTCTCTCTCTATATATATATATATATATATATATATATATATATATATATATATATATATATATATATATATATATTCGCGAGTATATACATAGGCGTACAAAAACTTACCATGCCAAACGACTCTATTGCAGATATAAATAAAGCAAAAAAGTATAGAGACAGACACTCTTCAAGTTTCAAGTCAGGAAGTGATAAGATAGGGCAATTAATTTGGTTTACGATACCCACTTATCCTCAGAAATCCCAAGACATTTTTTCTCACATATAGCTTTGTCTTTTAGTTGAAATGATGATGCCAAAGAGCATAGGTTTCTCCGGCAAAACGACTTTTGATATAAAAGATTTTCCATATATATATATATATATATATATATATATATATATATATATATATATATATATATATAAAAGAAATATGTTGTAGTGGTTCCAACGAGAGAAAAGTATGTATATTAAAAAAGAAGAGAGGTGCCGCAAACGTTTTTCGTTGTAATGTGGATTTATTTAGAAAAAAATATTATGCTTTGTTTTACATAATTTTACGACACGTGTTTCTGGTCTCGCGACCGTCTTCAGGTAAAAGCGGAGATTTCCACATATTATTAAAAATAATTAATTTTTTCCTTATGTTCAATGTTAAATATTCTCGATATGAGACATCCTCTGTTTGTGTGTTGGTAATCCGAATTTCTTTCTCTTATATATATATATATATATACAGTATTTACATTAGTCGGACTATTGTCCTCATCTTTGTTGCCATATTTGTCACAATGTTTCGGCCGTTGTACGCTCCGGCCTTCTTCAGGTGGTTGGAATTTCGAACTGAACCCTTTATTTCGATCACCGGGGTAGACTGTTCTAATTCCACGTGCCATGTTTGATGGATGTCAGTTATCAGTTATCTCCTGCTAATTTTCCCTCTGAAAGTTCTCCACTGCCTTAACCAGGAATTGAACTCACCTTCTTTGGGTCTGTCACTGGATCTAACCAACGCCTTTATCCACTGTGCCATGTGTCCTCTTGCGGCACCTCTCTTCTCTTCTTAGAGGGAAAATTAGCAGGAGATAACTGATAACTGACATCCATCAAACATGGCACGTGGAATTAGAACAGTCTACCCCGGTGATCGAAATAAAGGGTTCAGTTCGAAATTCCAACCACCTGAAGAAGGCCGGAGCGTACAACGGCCGAAACGTTGTGACAAATATGGCAACAAAGATGAGGACAATAGTCCGACTAATGTAAATACTGTACATAATACCTCATCTCATATATATATATATATATATATATATATATATATATATATATATATATATATATATATGAAACTTACCCACTTTGTTGAATCAAAACCTGAATCATTTATAAGGATAGATAATTTAGTTTTAAAATGTCCTAATATCATAGAAAATCATGGGAAATAATCCGAATAATGAGAGACATTCACAAAACCGTTTTTTTTAATTAAAAATCAGTATCACCTCAAGCCATACAGTGCATCTACTAACGCAGTTACAGGATGTAGAGGAATTAGGAAAAACATTAGTTATGAGTAGAAAGAGAAAATCAGGAGGACAGCATATAGCGTTTGCCATTGAATTTAAATTTGTGCAGATAAAAGTTGGCTGGAAAGCATGGAGTCAAAAGGGAGTTCCGCAGACGAGATGTGGGAGAAAAGAAATTGTCGGCATATGGCGATATCTAACCAGCTCCACTGTAAATTGACGAGATCATGCCGCTAGTCTACTATAGCGCTTAAATTCATACGTTCTCGATACCATAGTCAAGAACTCATCCAAGTAATTACCATGAATGTATTTTTTAAAATCACGGCATTGAGGAAGTACAGAAGATGAACCGCCATATCAGGACCAATATTATTGTTGATTCTTCTTTGGATCTTATCAAGGAGCTCCAGGTAAATAGCAGGGGCAACCAGATCATATGTGGCAGCAATATTCTAAGCATGGATGAATGGTAGACATAAATATGCAAGACAGATTCTGGAGAGAAAAATTGCCCCGACCGGCACAGCGAACCGACTTTCTTAGCAGCTGACCTAACAATGTATTTAATATAATCTTTCCACTTCATGTCCGCTGAGAACGTCAGCCTGAAAAGGCGTAACGAGTCACTTTCTTGGAGAATAGCTTCAGCCATGCTGATGGAAAGCAGAGAGGAGTCTTTCAGATGATTAACGGAGAGAAGTTTAGTTTTGGAGGCGTTAAAAATTGACAAGCCATCTTTTGCCACAGTTAACGACGGATATGAGGCCATTTTGGACATCAGCTGCCATTTTGACCTTGTCGGACTGATCAGCCTTATTATCAAGGCAAGAGTAAATGGTTGTGTCGTCAGCATAAATGTGCAGTTGAGAGCTGGTGTCATCGGGAAGGACCTTAATAAAGATTAAAAAACAGCGTAGGACCAAGGATAGAGCATTGAGGGATACCGCGTTAGTACGAAGGGATGTAGACGAGTGGCCGTTAGGGATAACTTTCATTTCACGATTAGATAAAAACGATTGGATCAGCTTAAAATGTGTCCGGAGATACCTTAACGTTTCACTTTGTTGAGAAGACCTTAATGCCAGAAATATATCAGCTGTATTGGTCACAACAGAGCTTTAATTGGATGTTAATCATGAGTTCAAGAGTTTATAGACACCTATCGCTTGTAGTATTTCTTTATACTACCAGGTGTGGCAGCAACATATTTCAGTCGCATTGTACACGATACACAAGCCATATCAAACTTCCTACAATATCATCTGCATTCTGTTAACCTTGTACACAACTCTGTGGAGAATATATTTAGGGTTTTACCATCAGGGGCGTTGATGTTGCTGTGGTTTCTGTTGCAAGTAGTGATGTTGCTGGTCATACCAAAGTGGTTTTAAATTCAGAATAGACCGGGAGCCAACAAAGCTAGAGAGACCAGTTTGCTTTTCTATTATCCCCTTAGCTGTGACGGGGTGGGAAGGAAGAAATGGTTTTATACCCTTCCAGTGGTATTTGTGAGAATTTGGACGCAATTTAAAGTGGATACACCAATTCAAATTTCTAAACTGATAATTGCAATTCTCTCTTTCTCTCCACTCTCTCTGTCTCCTCTCTCTCTCTCTCTCTCTCTATATATATATATATATATATATATATATATATATATATTATTGTGTAACAGAAAAATTGTCCAAATCGTATTACAGCGTAATTGTCCATCCTACAAAATGTTTAATATCGAAAACATCACTAAACTAATTGAGTTTCTTTTTTCCATGTTTTCAAATAAAACATTTAGCTATCCTGACAACATTTGTCGTAAAAATCACTGAAAAATCTTTTGAGTTATTCAGCTAAAAAGAAGGCAGATTAAAATTGTTTTGTGTCAAACCCACTGTCTTCCCAAGTGAGCAATGGTGAGAGGAGAATATCATTCAGGCCTTCAGTAATTGTACCAACGTTTTTACTATGGCTTCCATCTTCTAAGTCCATTCAAGAACCATCAAAAGAACGGTGAATAACTTTTTAAAAGAGGGAACAGTAGAGAGGAAACTAGATCAGGAAGTCACAAGAGGAAGAAGGATCATCATTTCAACTTACAGCTAAAGAGATCAATTAGAAAAGTTTCAACTCAATCCATGAGATGTTTGGCACGTGTTAGAGGCGTTACAGCTATGATAGCCCAACGAACAGTAGAACAAGACTTGAAAATTAAATTGTACTTGAAACCTGTTAGGAAACTTGTTACTCCAGGACAGAAAGTTAGAAGGTTAGAAAAGGTGAATAATTTGAAAATGATCCTGGAATATATATATATATATATATATATATATATATATATATATATATATATATATAATTATTTATTTAAAATATGATTCCAAATCGCTACATAAGAGGTCTCATGTTTCAAAACAAGAGCCGAAAACTTCAATATAATCCTTTAAATTAAATTGAGTTGAAATTAAATGGGCCCGTTCCATCTTCAAGCGAAATTTTGTTGGAATAACGTATATCTGAAATTTACTTGTTTTAAAAATTGAAATCAAAATTCCCATGGTAACAGCTAGGGCGAATTGTTTAAATTGGGTAGGCGAGTGTAGGGTGTTAATAATAAGTAGCGGTATAGAGATACTTTCTAGATGTCAAGTCGGGGGAAGGCGGGGGAAGGTGGGGGTGTCAAAAATGAAACGGAAGATGTATTAGCCATCGTCTAGTTTGCTTGTCTATGGAGATTTATTTATTTATTTTATTTTATTTTATTATGAAAGGGAATTGTGCATATAAAAAAAGAAAAGAAAAACTTTCGTAACGTTTGTTTTTTGACGACTTCATAAAGGGTTATCTATTATGTAAGGTATTTAAACTACTAATTTGGGCTATGGATTATGAAGGGTGTTATGTTGTATGCATGTTTGTAGTTAATTATTCCTACTATGAATCTGATGATTGGGCTATTTGTTAAACAAGTTATATAAATTTTTTTCTAATAATTCAAACCAAAAATCTGATGATGCCTGCAAAAAACCGTTAACTCGTGTCTATTATTTAATAGATTATTATTATTTAGAAATTTAATAATGTGCAATTTTTCATGGAGGCACAAAGGGCATGGGTCATCCCAAGCTTTACATATTCTAGCCTTGTCAATAATTTTCCATGAGCATCCCATCCTTTTCTACGATTAATTAATGATGAACATGTCATTTTCGTTTATGATCGATTTCATCACGATTCTTCTGTTAAGCTTGAAGAGTAATTATATATTCTTATAGTAAAACCCAATATGGTTATGAAAGCCTTGAAGAATTCCGGTAAGATCTTTTAAAATCATTTCTAAGATAGAATGGTTCAAATCTTAATCTAACAATTGGACAATTATGCTGTTACACGATTTGGACAATTTTTCTGTTACACCCGTTAGAATGCTGTCAATATATGTGAAATCGGTCTACACACGACACCACTTATACGATGTTATTTACCTGACCCCCCCTACTAAGGTGGGATGTGACACAAGGTCTTTTTTATGTGGAGTCTAAACTTTCTGGGAAAAGGGGTTCAAAGACAAAAAAATGTCCAGTCCCCGTAATGACTGTCACGCTAGAGTCGATATTACATCAAACTTAACTTTCTTAGTGCTATGAGGAAGGTGCTGCTAAAGAGTAGGAATCTCCGGGGACCAAGCGCCTTCTCTTGTCTAAATTGAAGAAACCAGTTTTCGTTCTCACCGGCGATATACACATTTAAATGTTTCATGTAACGTTCTAAATAATACCAACAAAATCGAACAATTTTTTTCGGCGGGAAAAATTTCATTCTTACTAATGATTTAGACCGGAGTAAAACATGAACTCTTTGTATTTGGTTCACAATTTTGATCCGGGTGGGCAAATTCTTATTTGAAAATTAAAAACTAGTTTATAAGATTAAACAGTCCTTCCCATTGAATTTAATACAGTTTGTTTGATTTAAATATAGTAACATATCAGTCAGTCAGTTAATTGCCATAAGTGTTACACGCTTGGCCGATCATTTATCATTCGATATGGCACTGACGAGGAACATTTTGTCCGCAGTAGGTTGCCATTTCATTCTGCGGTAAACTGGTTGCCAGCTAAGGCTAAAAATCCTGTCTGTCCTGCTGTTCAATCATTTCTGGGTGAGATAAAAGACGGATTCATACCTTTCCCAACTGTATTTGTGCGTAAGCGGAATTCGAACTCTGCTCTCCGCGTTCTCACTCCGAGCCGATATCCATTACACCACAACATACAACGTATAACACCTTAAAAAATGCAGTAACTTATTTTGCAATCGTGTTTATATATACAGTGTAACCCGGATATAAGAGAGTTGTCGGGACCGGAGACGAAGTCTCTTATATCCGGGTTTCTCTTATATCCGGGTTTGGTCTATTTTATATACATTAACACAGGCTCTAATTTGGGACCAGAGAAAATCTCTCTTATATCCGGATTTCTCTTATATCTGGGTCTCTTATATCCGGGTTACACTATACATATATATATATATATATATATATATATATATATATATATATATAGACGCAGACAAACACAGTTGAATCCCTGACAACAAAGTCGGGATATGAACGGTTATATTTAGATTAAATTAAAAGAAGTAAAATCAGGTTTAACATTTATTTTCATCGTTTTATAGCAAACAAAATAATCTAATGGTGAGTGAAATATAAAGGAATTGGTTTTAAGATAAAAGAAATGAATTATGTAATGTCAATGGAAATTCATTATATTAAGTATGCCACATATGCAAAACAAATAATGTAACGAGGATTTTTTAATCGCTGTTGCATGATGATTCTTTCTCTTCTAATGTCATTCTCAACTTTTTCCGCATTTCGTTTTGCTTTTGTTCTTAAATTCTTTTAAAGGAAAGATACATTTTAACTCTGCGTGCGTTATTGCAATCATCATAGCTGAATGCTGGCCTTCTTTGCATAAACCGACGACCTTTTCAATAGCTTTTACAATTTCAGTCCATGTTTCATCACAATCATGCATCCCGTCGCCATCTTTTTGTAGATGTGTCTCGTTGTCATTTTCGTGTTCTAGGGAGGATTCACCATTTAAATCACCGTCGTTACCTGTATTAATCCATTCTACCAACTCATTAGAATTAATGCTGCACAAATGATTCTCACTGTTAGCAATTTTTAAAGTTTTCTTCAGAACATGTATCGCTTCATTTTTGTTACATAAATCTATACTTACAATCTTATTCTTTTCTGTTAATGCATTTCTATCAATTTCATTTTTGTTCTTTTGGAAGCAATATTTTCCATGCGCTTACAAGTGTTTCATATTTCAAAGACTCCTATGCCTCACGACGCAAAAAAGAAACAGCATCTTTAATGTTAAATCTCTTTTGAAATTTTAATGGTTTTAATGGTTTTAAATTTTAATGATTTTAATGGTTTTAAATTTTAATGATTTTAATGGTTTGCTACAGTTTTGCATCATGAAATGACTCTTTTAATAACGCTTCGCATTTGCTACTACTTCCTGGTCAATTGGGTTTCCGGTTCCTTTGAAAGTCTTCTCACTGTCTTTTAATCGCAGTAACCTTTCCATGCGTCTTAGTAGCAATATCGCTTTGCTTGAGGTGAACTGATTCAATAAAAATGAATGGAAACCATATAAATTCCTTGAATATAATAATGATTTTCTGCAGCAAACATGATAGAAACTCGAGTTTTTTTTGTTTTTTTTTTTGTAATATAATTTAATCTTGGCGATGTTGGGGATGAGCAAGGTGAACGATTTCACCAGGATACTGAAGTTATGTAAGAAGGGAAGAATGCACAAAAGAATGATGGCTGACGAGTGTGAGGACAAATATACTTTTCACGAAAATATTCACTGAAAGTTTTGATATATGACTGCCAACTGCTCTCAGTATTCCACTTTTAATCGCTTACTGTGTTCGCTTTCTTTCGTATATTTTTAAATTGTTTTTTTTTTTATTATTTCACACTAAGATTGTTTAACCTTCAAATGGAGTTTATTTTTCTCTTTACATTTACCATGACCTAACCCAGACATGACCACATTCTACGTGGGATAGCTATTCTGGAGAAGTGAGACTGAAGCTAATTTTAGAAAGTAGATGTTATACTTTAATTCGCCAACGCAAGTTAAAAATAGTCAAAATATCGCATGCCCCATAAAAAAATTGTAGGCTAGTGTAATTAGTCTTGTTTTGTTTTCATCGATTGAATACAAACGTTCGCTGAAGTAATCCAGTGATTTGACCCAAAGAACTATGAGTTCAATAACTGGTCACAGCAGAGTTGAACAAAGACTTGGAGAGTTGTGTTATTAAATAGAAATAACTGAC